GTCCGTTCCTCCCCCCTCCCCCCAGCGCCGTGACTAACGCCGCGCTCGGGGCGCGTTTTGCAGGGCGAACACACGTTCGCGGACGGCCTGGAATACAGAGAGAAAAACTGGCATTACTGCGACGGCTACGACAGAAGGTTTCACACAGAAATCTGCTCGGGTCTCAAACCGGCAGGTACGGCGCGGCACCCGGCCGCCACGCTGGGAGCCTGGAAGGAACCAGGCCGACCTGGGGCCCGGAGGAACAGAAGGAGCCCTGGCTCCCTTCTGGCACCGACGAGGCCTCGTCCACCCGAGACGGAGACGCAGACACCAAACGTTTCTGTCCAGCCGATACTCTTGCTAAAGACTTTAATATTATTGTTTATCCATAGGCAAAAAGGTGAAAAGATCTGTACGCAAAAACACCTGAGTAAAACACGTAACACAAGGCATACAGCACTCTTCTTTATACCCAGAACATTTTAGTAATGACAAGCAGTTGCTCAATGAGGCCAGCAAGAGCCTCCTGGCTTCGTTTTGGAGTGTGGGGTCATACTGGTAACATTCACTTAACGGGCTGGATGACAGGACTGTGAATGAGGAAATATAACTGCTGTCTTTTTATTATACACTTCTTGTGTGCGGACTTACCCATTTTCATTTTCTTGATCTGCAAAATGGGCAGAATGTTTTATAAAATTTATTCAGTAACTATCTTTTAGCAAATGCCACAGACATGTGAAGTAGTGTTCATTAGTTATCAAAGGTACAAATGTAGAAAAAAAGCAAAATAAAGCAAACCTTATGGTTTTTATTTTCCAGGCATTTCCCAGCTTACAAATTTGGATCCTCCTCGAAAAATCCCCGAAGGATGTTACGACTGTGGTGATGGATTCTATAATCCTATAACCAGAGTTATCATTGACTACAAATTCAGATTTCTGAGAAATGCAGGTATATTTAACTTCCTTTGCAAAGTAAATTAACGTGAGATTCTCACATTCTCTAGGATGTGTGATTATAGCTAAAACGTCAAAAAAACATGGTCCGGTTTTGTACACACTGACCTAAAATATTGCTTACATATTTGTTTTTGTCAGCTAGTTATATGCTCACAAACTTGTGTAAATAATATTTTACAAAATTACAATGAAGTATTCCCAAGCAGGTATGAATAAATATATTTATATTTTATTACCATTTAGTATCTTAATCTAAGGAAAATCTTCAGTTTCTCCTATTACGATATTAAGCAAGTTAGCAGTTGCAAGGTGTATAGCATTGACCCTGAAAGCTCATAAAATCTTTGTTGTGAACCTGCAAAGTGCTTAAGCATGTGCTTGTCTTTAAATGTTGCGATAGTCCGTTTTATTTAAATGAGTCTTAGGGCTACGTTTAAATACCGTGCTGACTCGGAAACATTCTTGTCACCTTGCAGAACTGTGTTTTGAGTAGAAGCTGGCAAATATGGGGTTTTGAGGATCAGTGCCCAAATTAATAAACCTTGGGGAAAATTAGTTCTCATTAAGCTGAAAGAGAAACTTCTCAGATTAAAAACAAACAGAAAACCCAAAAACGGTTGACATTGGAAGAACTCAAAAAAATTCAGTCTGCCCTAAAATAAATGCGGAGTATTCTGGTTATTTAACCTTTGTCTTTAACAGCTTTTTTAGCACAGAAATTTTTTAAATGAAAATGCTTTTTCAAAGCTTCCCCCCATTTTTTTGTTTAAAATCGCCCCAATTCCAGGACCTGGCATTTCTAGAAGGCAGAGCATTTCATTTTCAGCATGCCACACTTTAACAGTTCTGTTGCTTGGAAACTCCATTTTTCAGCAAATTTACTATTTGTTAAAAAAAATTCTGCCCAGCTCTAGTTTCAAGAGCTCTTATAAGTATGCACTGTGGTATTGGAGGAGAGAAGTAAAGGGAGGGGGGGGTTAAATGAATTGGAGATACCATCTGCTATAAAATATACCCTCTGATACATGGCCTGTTTTATAAACGTTGAATAAAAACTGATCTAGATTATTACAAATGGCATTGATCCAAAATACTGGAATGCAGTGGGCCTACTGATGAGGAAGATAAGCAACATGCTTTCCAAAAACACAGGAACCTACATAGATTAGTACAGGAGGGAACGCCTTGGAATTCAATTTATTGTTTTTTAATCTGTTCTTTGAACTCATTGTCCTTTACGACATTTATCTCAAACCCTACAAATTATATCAATCAATATTCACGAACCAGACCAGCACAGCGTGTAGTCTGTCAAGAGTTGCTGGAGATGTGCTTTGTGTGACCGTTGCACTGAGAAGCCCGTATACAAAGTTAAACTTGTTGATGCGAGTGTGAAGAAGGAATGTGTCATGTAGGCCAGACCCTTCCTCTTAAGAACACGAACACAATTGAAAAACCCGGCACTTGTTCAACATCAGAGGAACACTTACTGCCCCAGGAGAGATGATTCAGGGCACAAGGCCACTGCAGTTAAAAAAAAAAATGAAAAAAAACCCAGCTGTAAGCAGAAGAAACTGAGGAAGAGGCTGGAATGACAGGGAACAGATCCAGAATTACTCCATTATAGGTTGGGCAGGAAGGAGCAGGAAAACCTCCAGGCTTCCAGCCAAGTCTTGAAAGCATCAAAAGCAGATGGTAGGAAGCATTCAGGAAGTTCTTACAACAGCTTGACAGGTTTACCAAAATGACACTATCTTCCTCAGGTCTGGAAGCAGGCTTTAAGAATACTCCGGTTCTCACCTTTCACCCCAGCTCTATTATGAAGCAATTTCTGATTGTTTCTCTGCTGTTTGGAAACGGGGCAAGGAAGCGTACTGCCTTGGCATTTACTTTCCTGCTTTTAAGAGAATAGACGCCATTTGAAATCACTGAGTTTGCTTCCACCGCTTCTTTGTCAAGATGAATGCATGCCGAGTACTGTGGAGACGCTTGTTAAATTTGGCAAGACTGACAAATTTCGTTAGCGTGGAGGTCTGATGCTCGTTTACTTAAAGAGCTCTTACTGTCAAAGCAGTGCAAAGGCCCATCAGGAGAATGCAATCAGGCCCAGGGAATGAAATGACAGCAACGGTTTTGTTCTACTTCTTATCTAGTAAAGTTTTCCAAATTCGCATTAAAATCTTGCAGTTGTTACTCCCTCCCTAAACCTCTTTTTCCTTGGAGAACCTCAAATTTCTCTTGATTCTTTAGATGTTCTTCAATGTTTTCTTTCTTATATTGTGACGTACACAAAATTGGACACATAAAAGAGAATATGTAAGAATATTCATTTGTAAGAAGATACGGTGTTTGTTTTGAATAGGTCCTGGGACTAGACTCTTATCCACTCAGAGTATTACTTTTTTTTTTTTTTTTAGAACTTGAATTCCTGGCACCTTTGTAACAGAGTTTGGTTAATACAAAGATGGGAGGATTTCCCAATTTTTCAATGGAAAGATAAGACGTTATGTTTAATGCAAAGCAGGGAGGTACAAGAAGGGCGATGATATTTATGATTTAGGACCCCAAAATGTGGAGAGGGCCGCAACTTTCAAAGAGAAAATATCATTAAAAAGAGAAATCTTTTTCTACTGATATTGGAAGAATAATAGGAGGTTTTCATGGATCACCTCTCTGTTGATGAAAAGCAAAGATACTTCTGGTGAAAATTGCTCCATTTCTTCCTTGGTTCTCCTGAAGCTGGGTTAAATGGCATAAATCCAGCTTTTGCTCTTTGTAATATGAGAATATTTGTGCTTCTACTTTCATATTCCATTTTCAGATTTAACTAGTTGGTGTACAGTGCGTAGGGTAGCTTTCTACACTGCGGCGAATATTACCTGGAATATATGCATCTCGTCATATACAGACAAGAATAGGAAGGACACAAAGCCTGCCTTTACACTAAAAAACCTCAGTCAAGTAACTGAATTAATATGCATGGAACTAAGACCAGGATTAGGCCCAGAAAAACAGGACTAGTGTCCTATTAAGAGGAGAGTTTTTGGTGTTGCTGCAGTCCCAAGCCAGCCGCAATCAGCTTAGGTTTTCTACAAGCCTGAAAGTCTTGTAAAAAACAGCAGGAAAACTCCTGCTGCTTCAGCAATCGTTATAAACCAAAAAGCTCAAGATCCAAGAATATTATTTTATTCTGTAGTTGTAAAAGTCTAGTTTTAGAACATCTGAGGTTCCTTGGCATTGCAGCTTACCCAACTCTTTAGACAAAGGTGAGAAGACATTTTATTTCTAAGCCTTAATAATCATAGACTTACAGTTTCCTCACATTGCTGTCTTGAGATGAAAGTTCTCATGCTTGGTCTGAATGAGTTTTGAGTTTTTTTTTTTTTTTGGAAAGTTGATAGAAATGTATTCATCTATTTCAGGTGTATGCAAGTATACAAATCCATGAGAGAAATCTCCTACATTTAGACTTTTTTGTTTCACAATTCAAATGTGACTTGCACCAAGTGCTGTTTGAGAAATGTAGACTTTAACTGGTCTGAAAAATGTAGCTGGGAAGCAGAGCCATAACCACTCAATAATTATGCAGGGTAATATTTCTGTACCTACCCCCCAAATACATGCAGATGTTTGCGTGCTCTTTCTCATAAACTACTGGTGAGTTGGGTGTGGGATGAGGACCTGGCAATTTTTCAGGCCTGGAGTATTTCTGGAAAAAAGACAGCAAGTTTAACTTACAAGTAGGCTGTGGTGCAGAAAAAAAAAAAAAAAGACTGTGCTTAGAGATCATGCACTGAGCTTTATTCCCTCTTCTCACTGCAACTGCCCATTCTGATGATGGAGGGAGTGGATGAACAGGCTGATTCCAGGCTAGTCCCTAGTCATTGCCTAAGAATGTCAGAGTTGTTTTGGCAGATGACCTTAGCAATGGAGAGGAAAGCCCCAGCAATACACATGCACAGGGAATATAGTATTTTTGTTCGAATGAATTTAGCTTCCCATAGATTTAAATGTCTACTTATAACACAGGACCATTTAATCTTTTGTACATTTGTTTCTTTTTTATTTGACTTAAGATACTGAATTTAGATGAGGTTTAGTTCCTACATATTGAAACTCTTAAAAGCTCTTCAAATAATTGTTCTTTGGATACTTGTTAAGCTAAAGAAATCAGTTTTGATCGGCAGTAAAAGTTCATGCTATTTTAAGTGCAATGCTATAGCTATTTTCTGTTGTATATTTAATCATTTTGAATTATATGTCATGTAAAAGATTTTAGCTCTGGGGCATTTGCCAGATGGCTGATTCTGCATTTCACACAACAAAAGAAATAATGTTTGTGTAAAGCTCTTAAAAATAGTTGGTAATCAGTATATTCTATAACGAATGGGATCCAGACCTGTTTGGAAAAAAAAAAACAGCTTTTGCAGAAATTAATTTAGAGGATTTGGTCTCTACCTCTGGGCTCTGAACAAAACAAATTGTGTCTATTGTTTGCTGATTTTTTAACGTTTGACAAGTTAACTGAGTTGTAAATTTTATGTATTTTTATGCTAAATGCCATTTATTGCAATTCATTGATCTTTTTCTCCTTACTTTGACTGGCAAACTTATTTCTGAAAAAGGGGTTTTGTAAAATAGAGAACCAATACTACTCTCTTTGTTTACACAAATAGAGCAATACCAATGTGAGTATCCCCTTGCTTTTCTTGCAGCAGCTGAAGTGCTTGTCCTTGTCCCGTTCTCCTTTGACTACTGCTAACTCCTCTTTCTGGCCTCTTTGATTCTAATTCCTCTAAAATACCATAGCAAAAAACACTTTGCCTGTCTGCCACAGCATGCAGCTTGTATTCTTTGCCCAAAAGGCTCTACTGAAGTCCATACAAATTCACCTTTTGGTGTTGTCTCCTCTATCTCCTGTATACATTTTTTCCATTGCATCTAGTCCCAGGACACAGCTTTTTCTGCCTCTGTTCATACAAATCCCCAGTT